TGGTGAAATTGGAGCACCACAGTTCCATCCAGTGTCAAAAGGACCTCAGTTATGTTTCAGGAGCATAGCTCTGCCTTACACACACGCATGGACTAAACTAAAAAGGGCCATCCAAGGTCGGCCTTTGAAAAACTCTGGGGATAAAGCTTTGGATTCTCAGAAAAGTCAATTAGAGCAAAGACTAATCAGGATTTTCTTACACTTCAGGTCATTCTGAAGGAGTGTCTTTCTCTATTATGTTCTTATTGCCTACATGGGTTCTTTCCTTTTAAACAATTATGAAAAAGGTAAGTTTAAGGACTTTCAAACTCTGGAGGGTAAAATAGTTCCCTCTCCCCACCCTGCCCACTCCCTTCAAAATGAGCTGGAGAGCTGGAGGGACAGCTCGTGCAAAGCATGTCACCCTGAACATGAGGTGGTCCCCAGAACACCAACAAGAGCAACTCCCTAGCCAAAGCCAAAAATAGCTCCTGAGCACTGCTGGGTGTGGCCCAGAAACAAACAAACAGTGCTGCCTCCCAAACTTGGCAGAACATTGTGAGAGAGACAGTATAGGGAGAAGTACTGGCCTGCACTCATCCAACCTGGAGCTCAATCCCCATCATAGAGTACACACTCACCCCAAGCTCTGCCAGGAGTGATCCCTGAGCAGAGTCAGGAGTAAGCTCCTGTGAGTGTGGCCACAAGTCCCTGGCTTCCAGAAATACAAATAACTTACCCACATGTAATCCTACTTGACCTTCAAGCTACTAAAGTAAGGGGGAAAAAAAAATCAACCCATGGGGGCTGGAGCAATAGGAGAGTGGGTAGGGCATTTGCCTTGCATGCGGCCAACCCAGGTTTGATTCCTAGTATCCCATATGGTCCCCTGAGCACCACCGGAAGTAATTCCTTAGTGCAGAGCCAGGAGTAACCCCTGTGCATCGCCAGGTGTGACCCAAAAAGCAAAAAAAAAAAATCAACCCATGTGAAAACAAAGGCTGGGAACTGAAGTGAATTATCTATAGTCTTGCTTGTATTGTAAGTTGTGGCTTGTATTGGTAAGGTCAAACGAAAGCTCTTTTGTCTTTTTTCTGGGATGCTCTTTCTACAGCACAACACTGGTTCCAGCCCTTCTCTGAGTGAATTCAGGGCTAGCACATTCAGGAGGAGGAACAGTGGCGCCCACACAAAGCTCAGCCAAGTCACCCATTACATGTCCTGAATATCACCCCATTAAATTGTGGTTTGCTCTTCCTGAAATGCATCCTTGCCTTTCATTTTCCACATGTAAGTCCTTCTTTCTGGTTTTCCTTGTTAGTTAATGAATTTCTGGCCCCCAGAGGAGTCCATTTGCTCACTCCATGAGATACGATTACAAATCCCAATCTAGTTACTAACCTTACTGCTTCATACCAACAAAGCTTTCTCTATGCTCCAGGTCAACACTAAACCTCACTCCCTGCAGAAGCAGTTAGTATATTTAGCGCATAGAAAGGCTGCTGTATCTTACCCTTGACTATATCTCTCCTACAGTGAAAACTGCCAGGGTGGCAACATGGGACTCTCAAAAGATTAAGATACATATTCACATTCCATTACCATGGTTTGAAACTCAGATATTTGTTCCTGCAATAACTAACCTACTACTTGTGCCCCCCCCTTTTTTTTTCTTCTATAAAGCCTATTTTGCTTTTTAAGGCCACTGTAAGCATATATTTATGCCTTTAAAAATAGTAGATAATTTTCAGAGTCACACCTTGACTCTGTAAGTACTCCAATGTTTTTTTCTTATTCATGATTTTTTTTTTTTTTGGCTTTTTGGGTCACACCTGGCGATGCACAGGAGTTACTCAGTTACTCCTGGTTCATGCACTCAGGAATTACTCCTGGCGGTGCTCGGGGGACCATATGGGATGCTGGGAATTGAACCTAGGTCGCCTGCGTGCAAAGGCAAATGCCCTACCCACTGTGCTATTGCTCCAGTCCCTTATTCACGAGATCTTAACCTCCATTTATTTTGAAAACTTGAATCTACCTGCTAACCCACTTTCTGGGGGAACTTTGGCCACAGATTTGTTCCATCAGTAGCACAAAACACCACCCAGAGGGAAAGCAACCACAAACAGAGCACAGAGATTTAATTCTTCTAGCAGTAATTGCTCATTCAATAGCAAAGCAAAAAGTATCTAGAAAGTCCATACTGTGTGCTGGGCACTTTGCTACTTTAAGGACACCAAAAATAAGACAAAGTCTCAGCACTCAGTGTAGGGAGGAAATAAGGCCCATTCAAGGCAGGCTTATAAAGTGCTAGGTTCAAGTGGGGAAAGTTACACCGTTGACATTTGCTTCCCCTTCCTCCTCTTCCTCCTCCTCCACTTCTTTTCTACATTGATTAATAGGTGTTTTTTAATGAATGCCTTAGGATACATACTCTGGGAACTTATTAGAATTCTGCTTCAGAATAAATGTATCTTAGTAAGTTACAGTGGTTTGAGTGTCAGGAATTTTCTGTGTTTTACGTTATTTAATGTAAGAGGAATGATTTTTTTTTTCTCTATTTCATGGAGAAGGAAATGAGGCTCGAAAAAGTTTGCGACTAGTTGAAGGGCATCAAGTCCATGATCACGTGACCCCAAAACCCTGAGTTTCCCTTCAGCTGCACGCTCATTGGCAGGAGTTGGGGCTCTGAGTCCACTCAAATGAAAAGATGTTCCACGTTCAGCGAGAGTTCTTAGAAGAGAAGAAACCATGCAGAAGAACCAAAGCACAAGTCACCAAAGCCTGTCAAACCAAGGGCATTAAAGTGGATTTTATAGGTTCTCTTTCAAATCCAGAGACTACTATTATGTTCTTAGAATGCGCATGGTGTTAGCTTGCTATGATATGGGATTTCTCCTAATACATAACTGGCTTAAATACCTTCTTTATTGTTCACAAAACCAGTCTTCTTGAGCACTTTTTAAATTCCCCATTCTCTATTTAAATGTTTTTTATCAATCTTTCTGACTTCTCATTGTAACGATAGAAAGAAAGAAAGAAAGAAAGAAAGAAAGAAAGAAAGAAAGAAAGAGTAGTAGGTTATTAATTGCAGGAACAAAATCTGCAAACCATGGTGATGGAATGTGAATGTATATCTTAATCTTTTGAAAGTCCCATGTTGCCACCCTGGCAGTTTTCACTGTAGGAGAGATATGGTCATGGGCAAGATACAGCAGCCTTTCTGTGCGCTAAATGTACAAACTGCTTCTGCAAGGAGTGAGGTTAGTGACTAATTTATCACCACTAATAAATTACACAGAAGTAACAAAAAAACACACGACATTGTCTCTGAAGCAATCTAACCAACAATCTAAGTATAATCCAGTCTTATTGCTGAACTTTTAGTATACAAAGACATGGTAAATCAAGAAACAATGTGATATACCAAATAAATATAGAATATGGAATTTTGTACAAATAAAGTAGAATGGGGGCCGGAGTGATAGTACATCAGGTAAGGGCACTTGTCTTGCATGCTGCTGATCCTAATTCAATTCCCCAGCACTCTTCAGAAATGTCTATGTAGAAGAAAAGTTGAAGCTCTGTTCTGTTTTACTTTGGACTGGGGTTAAGACTTGAACCTGGGGCCTTCTACACGTACCGCATGTGCTCTAGCACCTTTAGGGTGACTTCCAGGCCTGAATCATTATCTATGAGTATAAAGATGATTTAAAATGCTGAGGTTATGACTCCAAATCCACACACTAAGTCCTGAACACCTCCAGGTACGACCCCAAAACAAAACCAAAAAAAAAAAAACCTTACCATTCCTACACCGAGGAGACAGAAGCACATGGTTAATAACTGTTAAGTGTAGCTACTACTTGCTTATTTGTCATTTTTTTTAATAAAGGAAAAGCTTGTCTCTTCTTTGAGCTGGATTCCTATGTAGAAAAACATAGGCACATAAAGATCTTATTAGCATGACTAAATGCTCATCTTTTTCAAGAGTTCAAATCTATCCCTCAGATGTTCAAGATTGAAGAGGCAGCCAGCAGAGGAAGGTACTAAGAGCCATCAAGATTTTTCCAGAACTAAATTGTCCTACCCAATGCCTGGCTTCACACAAGCACCCTATACTTAACTCCAGCACTCCCTGTACCTGGGAGTTGACTCATGCAAGACAGCTCATCAAATTGAAAAGCTACCATATTTCAGAATATAGTTACGATTCTTCTCCCAAGAGAATGAAATTTGGAGTCTCCAACCAGCAGAAAGAAAAGCTTTAGGTCAGTTTTACAATTTGCAATGTTTATTTTTCAGAAAGATAACCTGGTCATTTGAGTTTCACTTTTTGATTTTTATTTATTTGTTTCTTCTAGCATGTGTTATGTAAGAAGCATAAGAATGGGAGGGGGGAGAGGTATGCTTCATATAGTCTGATACTCCAAAGGCCTTATTAGTTAGAATAAGAAGCAAAGTAGATGAGAATGTAAATAAGCCAAAAGCACACAGGTGGTGGAATTGGTACTGAAACTACTGTGTGCCTGAAACAACTGTTACGAACAACTTTGTAAATCACAGTGCCTTAATAAAATATTTTAAAATTTGAGTAATAAATAAATAAGCCAAAATTTTATTCCACCCATAGGAAATTCTATTCCTGTTTGTGCCTTCCTGGAAGGACAGCAACCAAAAGATAAACCTGATACATTTGAGCTTTCCCAAAGGTAGGCAGTGAAAAAGAGATGAACTACACCCGTGCTTAAATATTCATATTACTTGGGAAAAGACAAATGTGAAGTACTAATCTGAAAAAAATTTAAAGAACTTTCAACTTATTTGACCCTTTCCCAAAGTTAAAAACATACCACGCTGCCACACTATCTAAAAACATGAAATAAACTGAACCTTTATATATCCGTATATCTAAAGGGGTGCATGTGAATCAACGTATATATGTATGTGCCCAGAAAATGTGAAAATGTTTCTTTTCGATTGGGGACTTCAAGCTTATCCCAAAGCGCAAGAAGTCTTACCTAGGTACAAGGACGCGTTTTCTTTCTTGACATTGTCGTCTAAGTAGGTTGGTCCCAGGGTATAAATGGGCGTGGAGCCCATTCCGATGAGAATCTGCGCGCAAATGAATAACGCCACGTAGACCCAGTGATTATTTCCTCCCGAGTCCTTCGGGCAGGCGGGGGGCTCCAAGGCCGCCCTGGTGTTACCAGTCTGGCACAGGCCATCGTTGGAGGCCGAGGCGTTCAACTCTTGGATCTGGTAGGGAGGTGAGATGAAGTGAGGTAAAGCGAAGAGCGCAGCGCCCAGGGCGATGAAAAGGCCCCCCACGGCCAGCCACAGCGGCCGCCGACCCCGGCCACCAAAATAACTCACGAACACCACCACCACCAAGCTCCCAATGTCAAAGCAGCTGACCAGCAGCCCGGACTCGGAACTCTTGAGACTGTAGCGCCGTTCGATGGTGGTGATGACACTGCTCAGGTAGCCGGAGACCATCAACGCCTGGATGAAGGTCAGGAAGCACATGCAGACCAGGAAGCAACGGGAATCCGTGAGGACCACGTAGAAGCACCTTCTCCCCTGGAGCGTGGCCAAAGCGGAGGACACCGACACGGTTTTGCTGATGTCCACGCTGTGGTTACAGTCTGCGAGCCCGGCCATCTCTGCCGAAGTGCAAGGGGCAGAGGGACTGGGGCTCATCCCACTCCGGCCCGGCTTCACCTCCGGGTGGTCCAGAGAATCGACGCAGCTGGACTTGGCGTCTACACCTGCGGGACTAAGGTCTGACCGGCAGGAGGCGCTGTTCAAGACCGGTAAACTCTTGGACCTCAGGGACTCGGGTTCGCCCTGCTTTTGGACAGCTCCAGCCGCGCCGGGTGCTTCCAGCCGCTCTCCAGCCGGGGGCTGCACCCCAGTGCCGTGGTCCATGGCTCTGACAATTCCGATCCGAACCGCTGGCTGAACGAACACGCTCTCAGGGACTCCGCGGCTCTCCCCTCACCCAAACCCACGCAGCCGTGGCCACCGCGGACCGAGTCTGGAGCCGCAAACCCGCGCCGGCGGGCATCCTCACTCGCAGGGAGGCGCCCAGGGCATGCCGCGGGTCGACAGGGCTCCGAGGCTCGGCCGCCGCGTGCCCCGGGGGACAGGGGTCCGCGCGGCGCTGCCACGAGCCCTGCTACACGTCCACCTCGGAGCGGGCGCTCGCGGCAGGCGCATCCCCTCGGCCCGTGGTCGCCGGAGCAAGTACGCGCGGTGCCCAGTGTGGGGCGCTTACCGCGGCCGTCCGCACTGCATCGGGCCCGGGAGGAGCCGGCTCCTCGCCGCCGGGGTTCCAGGAGGAGCGCACACTCTCCGGCGTGGAGCTCGCAGCCTGCAACGCAGAGAGAGGGCGGTCAGCGAAGGGCTGTGGCCGGCGGGGCAGCGGCGGGCGGGGTGGGGGTGGAGGCTCGGACCGTCCCGAGTGAGACCGAGGGACGCGCTCGGGGAGCGATGCCCAGGAGGCGCGGCGGACCGCAGCCCGGCAGCCGGAACAATAAGCAGCGGGCGGTCTGCAGAGACCCTCCCTCATTGTCTCCGCCGACTTGCCCCCGCCCCGCCCCTTTCCCTTAAACAGCGCATCTATTCTATGTTAATAATTATCAACCTGGCAGCTCTGAGTCAGAGCCACTGCCTCTTATTCTACAAAAGTAATAACACCTTTCGTACTCCTACTCCAAGCCTCAAAATAGAAAATGCCCCCAAAAGAACAAAGGAAAGTTTGGGACTTCTTATGATGCTGCTTTCCCCACCACCACCCCCCCGCAGGTGGTGTTGTTGATTTTTTTTTTTAAAAAAAACGCACAACACACCTTCAATCCCCAAATTTTAAAAGGATGAGAAAGGAGGAGAGCTACGTGTATACAGACACCCTTGTGCTTAGGCACGTGTGCGCAACTGCCTATGAATCCACCAGTCCCATCACTTAGAGACACGTCCTCAAAGCCCCAGGCAGCAGCAGCAAAAAAAAAAAAGGTCAGCATGCTTGTCTTTTCCCCACACTAAAAATAATCCCCCCCCACACACACACACACACACACTCACACACTTTCCCCACCCCCAGCCCGAAAGAACTATTCAATTACAGATACCGGGGGCATTCGAGGCTGCGGCCCACACCAAGTCCCAGCGCGCAGTGTCAAGTGAAACTGAAAATCAATTAGCTCTGCGGAGGGGTGGGGAAGCCACAACCAAACAAAGAGATGCCGGCACGCTGTCACAGACCGCGCCACGAGCCCCCGAGCCCGCGCGGTCACAGGCGGCCGGCCGGGAGGTGTTGCTATTTACAGCGAGCGCACCCCGCCAGCGTGGTCCCCGGGTCCGCGCGCGCGCACACACAACACACACACACACACACACACACACACACACACACACTCCACGGGCGCGTAGGTGTTGCAACCCTTGCTGCACCCAAGCTTGAATTCAAGAGAAATCCTAAAACAGGTGTGTCCCCGCGGTAAGCCCCAGCCCGTAATCTTCCACTTGGGGCTTCCGACCGGGGTGGGGGAGTTGGTGGGGGGAAGCTGTGCACCAGGTGGGAGAGAAGTGGCCGCGGGGTGGCACCGGGTCTTCCTCGGCGGCGCGCTTTTGTGATGCTGCTCAAGAGCAGAGGGGTAGGATCCGGGAGGAAGGCGGCTAGGCTGCCGAGCGAGCGGGGGCGGCAGCGCTGGCGTCTCCCAGGGCTCTGCAGAGCCAGATCCGCTCCGGATTCCCGGCCTGCCGCCGTGCACGGCGCGGGCATCCCCGCCGCCCGCCGCCAGGAGCCTTCCGGGGGGAACCCCACCGGCGGCCGCGCGCCGGGCCGGGAAATTCCAGCAAACTCGCTCCCGGAGCCGGGGGCGTCCGAGCCCCTGCCCGGGCAAGCACCGCGCGGCAGCGCACACGCCGAGCACACGCTGAGCCGGGTGGGGAGCCCTCGGGGCCGGCGGGGGATCTCGGGGACACCCCCTGAGCGCGCGCGCGCGAACACACACACACACGCGCGCGCGCACACACACACACACGCACACACGCACACACACAAACACTGTCAGCTGGGGACAGCTCACCGCGCAGCCGGCGCACCAGCAGCGGCTACTCACTCGTGGGTCTGCGGGGAAGGCTGGCTGGCTGGAGGTGTGCAAGGGCGGTAGGAGTTGGGAGCAGCCTGGGGAAGTCGCCGCCGTCCAGCGGCCGAGAAATCGGTGAATGAGACTGTGACTCAGGCTGAACTCTTCCCCCGGCTCGTCGCCTGTCACCCAAGCCTTTCCAAACACGCGCACGGAGACGCGCCCCCAGCGGAGCCGAGAGGGCGCAGGCGCGCGGGCAGCAGCCGGCCCCGCCTGGTGGCAGCCACCCCCCTGCCCTTCACCCTGCCGGCAGCACCGAACCCCCGAGGGAGCAGCTCCCCGGCCCGAGGAAAGAGTCCTGCCAGAATAAAATATTCTGTGCCACGGGCCCCCACAATGTCTCCGGGAAAGGTTCTGGGGACCAGTGATCATCAAGACAGGATCCCAGGAATGCGGGACTCTAATCACGAAGAAACGCTGCTCTCAGTAACGTAGAGCAGGGTCAGTTCCATAGCCGATGCTACCCCAGACCCTCATCCCCACTCATCGATCCCACCCTCAAGCCCAGGCAGAAGGAGTGAGACGGCATGGATGAGGCAAAGCAGAAAAAGTCTGCTTTCACAGGTTGTGTAAATCAGCACTGACTCCTGTGTCAGTCGAGTCAGCCCCCAAAACAACTTTGGAGGCAATCTCTGAGCAAAATGTGATGTGGCATTGGATAGGGGTTTGGAGAGGAAAGGATTGGTTAGGGCCTTTAGACAAGAAATCCAGGAGAAAATGGGCCAATGGGGAGGTAGGAACAGATAGTATTTGCCTTGCATGGCACTGACCCAGGTTTGATCCCCAGCATCTCATATGGTCCCCTGAGCACCACCAGGAGTACACACACACACACACACACACACACACACACACACACACACGGGCCAATGTCAGTTGTCGCTGAAGTTCCACCCTTGGGTGATTTGGATGGATGATTCCCAATAAAAATACAGGAGCAGAGCTGGAGAGCTAGAACAGGGGTTAAGATTTGCCTTGCACACAGCCCACCAGGGTTTGATAGCAGAGGCATGGCATAAAGCACACTTCTCTTCCCCCACCTCCCAAGCACTGCCAGGAGTGACCACTGAGCACAGAGCCAGAAGTAAGCTCTGAGCACTCCAGGTGTGGCCCAAAGTCAAAATAAATAAACACAAATACACAGGACGTAAACTAGGGTTTAAGGGCAAAGATAGTTCTCAATTAAAGTTATGCTGACTTTGAAATGCCTTTGGGACACCCAAGTGTGCAGAACACATAAGCCATTGGTTCAGCTGCACACAGGAAGAGCAGGCTAGAGCCATGGATAATGAGTTCTCAGCCCTAAGATGGCACAGTGAATAAGGAAGATCACGCAAACTGAGGAGAGGTAGCTTTAGAGACATAGTCTGGGGATAACAGTAAGAGAGAGGGAAGCTAAGGAGGGCAACTAGAAGTTGTGAGCATGTTATGGTCAGGTTGTTAAGAATCAGGAAATTTTCGGGGCTGGAGTGATAGCACAGCCGGTAGGGCGTTTGCCTTGTACTCGGCCGACCCGGGTTCGATTCCCAGCATCCCATATGGTTCCCCGAGCACGGCCAGGAGTAATTCCTGAATGCATGAACCAGGAGTAACCCCCGTGCATCGCTGGGTGTGACCCCAAAAAAAGCAAAAAAAAAAAAGTATCAGGAAATTTTCAAAGGAGAGTGGTCCTTTGCATAAAGAAGAAAGACAAGCTGGATGGTAACTGAAGAGTCCATTTAGCTGTCTGCAGCAGGAAGACACTGGTGAACTTTGAGAGGTGAACTTTGGCCTGCGGTGAGGAAAGAGCACAGCTGGAGTCTGTGATAGCCAGCAAAGTCATATCAATGTTGACCCTGACCTTATCCGATGAAAGCATTGTCTCCACTTGGCACATGTGAGGGGTGAAGTGCAGAGAGGATAAGCCACAGGGCTAGTCTGTGAACAGAATTCATCAAAAGTCCCTGCTCCTAACTGTGACTCTGTATTGCTCATGACTGTATAACAGATTGACTTATCAATGTACCTTGCATCAGTTAATAATCAAAAACCACCAGACCTACATCAAATCTTCAGCCAACAAAATAAGCCAACTGAATCTAGAAAGATAATATAGCAGGTAAAGTACTTGCCTCACACATGGCTGACCTAGGTTTGTTCCCAGGACTACATATGGTCCCCGCCCTCAAACCCCCCATCCCCTCCAGGAGTGATCCCTGAGAAGTCAACCCTGAGCACTACCTGGCTTAGTAAAAACAAAAATGAAACAAGCCAGCTAACAACCAAAAATGGTATTATGAGCTTGAGGTATGAGCAATAGCACAGCGGTAGGGCATTCGCCTTACAAGCAGCCAACATGGCCGACCCGAGTTCGATTCCTCCACCCCTCTCGGAGAGCCCGGCAAGCTACCGAGAGCATTCGATATGCCAAACACAGTAACAACAAAGTTGTTGGAGACGTTACTGGGCCCGCTCGAGCTAATCAACAATCAACGGGAGGGCCTTTACCTTTACCTAAGTAAATTTTTTTTAATTTTTATTTATTTTTTTTTATTGAATCACCATGAGATAGTTACAAGCCTTCATGTTTGAGCTACAGTCACATAATGATCAAACACCCATCCCTCCACCAGTGCAGATTCCCCACCACCAATATCCTCAATATACACCCCGTTTCCCACCCTCCCACTGCCTCCCAATATTCCCCATACTCTCTCTCTACTTTTGGGCATCATGATTTTCAATGCAGATACTGAGAGGTTATCATGTTTGCTCCATTATCTACTTTCATCACACATCTCCCATCCTGGCCGATTCCTCCAACCATCATTTTCTTAGTGATCCCTTCACTATTCCATCTGCCTTTTCCTCTTGAGGTTCTTCTTGAGACAGCTCAGTGTGGCAATGAAGCACTGACTGATCAAATAGGACAAGGACAGGGGCTGGAGAGATAGCACAGCAGGTAGGGCATTTGCCTTGCATATGGCCGACCTAGGTTCAATTCCCAGCATCCCATATGGTTCCCAAAGCACCGCCAGGAGTAATTCCTGAGTGCATGACCCAGGAGTAACCCCCGTGCATCACTGGGTGTGACCCAAAAAGCAAAAAAAAAGGGGGGGGGAACAAGGACAATCATGGTCTCAACCACTGCCACTGTGCCCTTTCTTTTATTTGTTTTTGCTTTTTGGGTCACACCCAGTGATGCACAGGGGTTGCTCCTGGCTCTGTGCTCAGGAATTACCCCTGGCGGTGCGTTCAGGGGACCATAACCATATGGGATGCTGGGAATCGAACCCAGGTCGGCCGCATGCAAGGCAAATGCCCCACCCGCTGTGCTATTGTTCCAGCCCCTGTGCCCTTTTCTTAATATCACCATAAGCCCACAGTGACTAATCCACAAACAGGTGCTATGACTCTAACTGTCACGTGTGTCCACATTTTTGTCTCCTATTACTGATAAGACAGGCAAAAATATGTGACATTTCCTATGCCCCAGTGCCCCTTCTGAGCCTTATTCTGGATTCAAACAGCATTGATCCTCTTCCTGGTACATCCTTCCTAGCTCCTGGGCTCTTCTCTTATTTCAGCCTCAGCCCCAGACAGGGACTGTGCTACGGCACATTCAGTCTGCAGCATCTGGGCCAGCCGCCCTTCCTGCTGAAAGTCAGATATCCTGTCCCTGGAACATCCTGTATTTATTCATGGTGAATTACCAGAGTTAGACTAGGACCAACTCTAAAAACTAATAGATTGTTTCATCACCACTAATAGAAAGATTATGACTTATGAACAGAAGATAAAAGACCCAATTAGCTATGAGTAGAGAAGGAAAGAAATAAACATTGAGCCAGAGACATTGCTTTTGTGCTCTCCTTTGCAGATAAATGTTACTCTTAGAAAAGTCTGGATTTCCACCCATCGAATCTAATTTTTAGAATAATGAAAAGAAATTGATTTTCATGGTGGGTGTATATGGGTAAGGGGGGGGGGGGGTCCTGCTTACCCCCATGACTTATTTCACAGATTGAAAGGAGGGCAATTGCCTGTATCTGTCTCGCGAGAGATATTGGAAGAGGAAGCACATGGCTATAAACTTTAATTTTCCAGGCTTGCTCAAGCTTTTAAGTCATCAGTCTAACTTGTACATAAACAGCTTCTTTCCCAGTACAATAAGTCAGAGGCCTTTGCTACAATGTACGGGATTAAAATCTATTTGGAAGACAGGGACGGAAAGCAGAAGGGTGCCTTTCTACCTTTCTCCACACCTTTCTTATCAAAGAGGGCTCATTTCACAGGCCCCTCATCTGGGCTACGAAGTTGAGTTTGGATGCAGAGGATTATCTGGGGGCCTGGAAATGTGGCTCAGTGGTAGAACTTGCCTTGGATGTAAGATGCCCTGGGTTTGGTTCCCTGCACCACACACACACAAATACACACAGAGGGAAAAAAAAAACATGTATGTATATATTTTCATATATATGTACATGTGTGTATATATTTATTCACTTCTTTAGTGGGCCTTGAATCCAATATATAGATCCTCCTAATATAGTTGTCCCTAATACCTGTGAATTCGGTGTTAGTTGTGACAAGGAGACAAAGTATCTTTTTTTATTTGAACCACTGTGAATTACAAAATTACAAAGATATTTATGATTGAATTTCTTCCATACATTGTTCCAACACCAATCCCTTCACCAGTGCCCACTCCCCTCCACCAAGTTTCCCCAGTTACCTCCCACCATCCAGCCTGCCTCTGTGTCAGGCATTTTTGTCCTCTCCCACTGTCCTAGTGTTCCCTTAGTATTTCTTTAAAAAAAAAAAAAATTAAAGAAGGGGAGAGAGGGGGAAAAAAAGTACAATTTATTCATAGACTTAGGAGATACACCCAGATTATTAACCTCTATGGCATACTTAAATTGTATTTATGTTCTTGAGTCCACAAAGGTGGTTTGTGATATGATGAATTTCCTCAATTTCTTCTCTTTATTTTATTTTTTAAATTTAATTTATTCAGATAGAACTGACATTTAACATCGTCTTGAGTTTAGGTGTGTGAGATAATTGGTATCTACATACACTGTAAACGGATCACAAAAGCAAATCTAGTTAACACCTATCACCACACA